TGCATCCGAACAAAAGTACCACCCCTACCTTCAAAAAACCACCCCTGCATCCGGATCAAAGTACCACCCCTACCTTCCAAAACCACCCCTGCATCCGAACCAAAGTACCACCCCTACCTTCGAAAAACCACCCCTGCATCCGGACCAAAGTAAAAACCAACCCCCTGGATCTGAACCAACCCACCCCTGCATCCGAGCCACAGTACTAACCCTACATTCGAACCACGAAACTGTCACAGCCCTAAATCCAATCCGAACCAAACCACCATCCCCTACATCTGAACCGAAGTACCTGGGCGCAAAAGTTTTCAGTTGCATAATTATGGCCCCAGCTCAGCCTGGCACCAGGCAAGCCTCCACAATTGCAAAATATCAAACAGTCGCCATTTTGTTTTCTTGTTCAGGACTGGGCCTAGTGCCACCCCCTGGCATGGGACAATTTTCTTTTCGACTGGTCTTTCGGACGGCCTGTCCTCAGCCTCCAAAATTTTTGGAGAGGCCCAATTGGGTTCTCAACTTGGCTGGGGCCATGTACTGGTGCCAGTACCTTTACGAGCTATTTTGTTCCAACGTGGCAGTTAACAGGGGCTAGGCCTACCGGTCTAAAATGGCTGGCACAGGCAGGCAAAAAAAGAAAAGTTTTTTTTTTTTTTTCTCCGTAATTTGGACCATTTCTTAATTGGTGTGCCCTTTCCTTAAACCACCAGTACCTTGGCCCATACACCCCCTCACCGCACTTTCGGAGCTAGTAAAGGGGACAAAGGCCACTGATGAGATTTGTCAACGGCCCATTGGCCCCTAAAGTCGTGGTGTGAGGGGCCCGCAACCGATGTATGGGCCAAGTACTGGTGGTTAACGCAGGGTCAAGGGGCCATGCGAATCAATCAATCAACCTTCTCTGTTTCTTTCCAGTTTTCACATGGACAGCCCGAAGGGCGACCGAACACCGACCTCCCCTTTTTTCAGCAGGTCTGTCTGGTTGAAACATGATCCAACACTGTTGGACCAACTGCCACAGTTTTTTTTGTTTTTTTTTTTCTGCCTCCAGGATTGGCCGTTTTTTTTTCAGGAGGTACTGGGTGGTGGTTTAGAAACTTGAAATTGTCCGAATGAATTCATCATACTCTGATGTCTGGCGCTTTCTGGCTGCCCCTTCCTTTTTTCCACCCAGAGGCACAGTAGTTCGTTACAGACGGTAACCAACTGCTGCCTCCATGTATGGCAGTGGGTGCACCAAGAAGTAGAGGAAGAAAAAGAAGAATAGTGAAAGTGATTAGTGAAAACAGGGGCCAACTGTCTTTTGTTCACACCTGTCAGTTCGTCCATACACAACCACGCATACTCATCTCAGCTTACGCGCACATTCCCCGACGCGCATTTCGATCAGCTGCGCTCTGACCATCCTCAGGGGGCTTCCCGCACCGCCCCCACAACCATGCCTTACAGCCCACCGACTGTTCCCCGTACAGCCTACGAAGAGGAAGAAGAATAGTGAAAACAGTGGCCATAGACTGCTCCCCGAACAAGCATAGATAGATTTGCATACAGAAGAAAAAGAAGAAGAATAGGAAGAAGAAGAAGAAGAAGACATGGACTGGCGGTTGAAGCCTGGTTTCTTTATCCATGCATGAGTTGCAGCTGCATTTTGTTTTTGACATTTTCCTTGGGTCACATACACGGAACGAACTTTGATGTAACAACCACAGAATGAACGAAGCAAATAACCAGCAACTGCATTTGTCTTTTTCCTTTTTCTTTTCAACTGGAAGATGGCACGAGAGGATAGACTGAGGGAGGTTTAGAAAAGGACGAAGAAGAAGAGGAGAGGGAAGAAGAAGAGGGGGAAGAACAGGGGGACTACGAAGACCCGGGAGAACAAGATGAGCGAAATGAAAAGGAGGAAGAGGAGGAGAGAGCAGAGGACAAGAGGCAAGAGGGGGAAGAAGAGAGGAGGGCGAAGAGGAGGGAGAAGAGAGGACGGAGAAGAGGAGTGAGAAGAGGAGGACGAAGAAGAGGACGAAGAAGAGGAGGGAGAAGAAGAGGAAGGGAAGAGGAGAAGGAGAAGAGGGGGGGAGAAGAGGAGGGTGAAGAAGAGACGAGAGAGAAAACGGAAAAGAGGAGGGAGAATAGCAGGGAGAAGAGGAGGTAGAAGAGGAGGGAAGAGTGGAGGGAAGAGGAGGAGGAGGAAGAAGAGGGAGAAGAGGAAGAAGACAGGAAAGAGAGGAGGGCGAAGAGGAGGGAGAAGGAAGAAGGGGAGGGAGAAAGGTGTGAAGGATAGGAGGGAGAAGAGGAGGGAGAAGAGGTAGGAAGGATAGGAGGGAGAAGAGGAGGGAGGGAGGGAGGGAGGGAGAAGAGGAGGGAGGAAGATGAGGAGTGAGAAGAGGGGGATGGTACGTGGACTTGTAAACACCTGTGCATTGATTCCCTTGGAACCGATATATATGCGGCCACGAATGTCCCGCCCCTGCAAGAAATACCCCATAGTATGCGCATAAGAGGACTGTCAGGCACAATGGATAAACTCAGTAATGGAGCAAAGACAACGAAATATTATTTTCTCCAAAGAAGCGTAGAAGCTCTTCAAAAGTACTAAAGTCCCCCCAAAACGGGTTGCACGACGGTGCGGGGGCGGCAGGGAGGGGGGGGAAAGGGGGGACGGAGGGGGGACGGCAAAACCACCCTTTAAAAATCACTTCATGCAATGGAATACATAACGGTCGATTCATTAACGAATCACCATTTGCGGGTGCATAGGACTCAATTGAAAAGCAAGCTACATTCAACGAATCAGAGTCTGACAAACTGAAAACAAGGCTTCTGTCCTTGGAAGGCATGGAAG